CCTTCACAATTATTTGAACGAGTCTACTTAGCTTGTTCATCATTCACAACCCACAAGTAATTCGTACATTAGAAACAGCATATAATATTATCATATTCACCAAAGATTCTTTCTCCAGAATATCTACGTTTGAATCCGACAAACTGACTTGAGTACGACGTTGTTTTATATGTAAATATATTTCTCCTTATAAATACATGCAAATATATGACCTGTTTGTTTTTCATTCGTGACACGATATATATATATATATCCGTTCACCTACAAAAAAATTGAAAACGATATTTATAATATATCCATGTATCTAAAATTCTTAATAATGACAAATAATAAATAATTAATTGATCCGATCCATTGAAATTATATCAATAACACTATTCAGCTAGTCATTAATCTCTATAACATAATTCCTAATCTTCCTGTGTCACTTACTTCGCGACGCTATATGTATAATTCATATCTGGAATAATATCAATAATAAATTATAATTAAGTTCGATTTTACAGATCCCTATTTCGTGAAAAGTACTTTTTTTTAAGAGAGAGATGAACTTATTTATTTAATTTGCTGGATATCATTTTGAAATTCATAAGAAAAATAGATAGATCTTAATATAAGCTGACGATAGAAAGTTGATATATCGACTTCTCTACATCCTTAACCAAACTGAGCTTATGTAAGTTGTGTTCCAAATATTATTGGCAATCTCCCAATTTCTTAAAATATCTTAGAAATAAAAAAAGTTAACGACTAAAATTAATATCATAAGTTATAATTGCTCACGCTCTCATAATTCATAACAAATTTAATTATCAAGAAGGCCAAATTTTTATCTTCAAACATATGACAACTTTGAAAAATATTATTGATGGCTTTATTTTTTTAGGCTAAATTGCAACCCTATACCTTTAACTTTATACAAAATTTTATTTTAATATCTTAATTTTATTGTGTCGTTTCAGTTTTTTTATCCCTAACTACGTTAGTTTAATAATAAAAAATTATGTTAAACTTTTAAATGTTAATAAAACATTATCAAATATTGACATATTACATTTAAAGTTTGATTTGGGGGTTTTGATTTAGTGGTAATGGGCAGCAAAGTTACTTTGTTACCTATTCCATTAGGAACTGCAAATTTTTGGGTTCATCATGTTCATGCATTTAGGATTCATCATGTGATGATATTGATACTCCTAAAAAGTGTTCTTTTTGCTTGTAACTCATGAATGGCATTGGATAAAGCAAATCTTGCTTTTCGTCTCCCTTGTGGTATTATGGAGTTAAAAGAGGGGTATAATTTTTTTTTAAATAACAATGATTGATATCAAAAAATAATCATTTAAAACTAATCATACTAAGGTTAAATGACTAAAAGGATACTTTATAAAGTTAAAAGATCAAATTAAAATCATATATAAAGTTAGAGAATTAAAGGGACCCTTTAGCCATTTTTTTAGGAATTTTATAAATTGCTTATGGTTTTTTTCATCAAATTTAAGTCTTTAAGTGAAATTTCACTACTAGTCTTTTTTTGACCAACCAAATTAACTATATTAATTTGTATCATAAATGTGTATAATATCATCTACCAAGATGGATTTAGCCACTTACCACTACTAACCAAACCACACAAGCCATAAATAAAATAATATCAATACATTATACTATAGTACTGTGTTCCTAAAATAGTCTTCTATTTATTTTGAAAATCATATAAATACACACGTTACTGGAAGATGAGTTATATGTATTTTAACTTTTTTTATATATTATATTTCTGAAAGGAATGTGTCTGGCTAATATAAAGATAATCAACCTCTTAAAATATAGAGTGATATAAGTTTACAATTTACAACGTAAAAACAATACATGTTTTTAATAAGTTATATCCTTAATAAAAATGATATTATTCTTGAGTTCAAAATGAATGATAGGCTAGAAAGAGGAATTTGAGCTGATTTATTGATTCCTACGCCAAGGGTGGAGGGAGAGGAGGAACAACATGCTGGGCCATGGCTCCGATCCCCTAATAATAAGCTTTAATTTTTTTTATTATTATATAGTTGTTGGCTCTCTAGACTTTATGAAAGCATTGTAGCATATTTGCTTTTTAATTGTAGCCCCTTCATTGTTAAATCGTGGCTTTGCACCTGCGTACGCCTCTTCAAAAGACAATGTTTCCCCTGTCTAATTTATAAGACGGAGCCAAAAAAAGAGTTTTTAAATTCTATTTATAAGTCATGCTATTAAATTTTTTATCACAAGTTTTCTTTTTACTTTTACCCTTCATTAAATGTTGGTGAAAGAAAGTATATTATTAAAGTATGTATATTTAATGAAAACAAAATTAAACTTATTAAAATTTTAGACAAATTAAGGATAATGAATTTAAATGTTTTACTTAGTTTCTACGAAGTATGTTAGATATAACTTACAAATAAGATTAAAAAGAGAATATACAAAATGAATTAATTAAAGATTCTGCGTGTATGTGTTTGCGATATACTACTTTGTTTTTAAATGTAAGAGAAAGTGCTTTACTATGTTTCCTTGTTTTTTATTATAAGAAAAACTATAAATTTCAAGAAGTATTAGTTATTATTTTAATTTTCTGAATTGTCTCTCATAAATAGATAATATCATTAGATTAGAGAAAAAAAGTAAGCATTAATTATAAGAGCATTTTAGTTTCAACATTACATTTATTCAGTTCCAGGCATAATTATTGTGATTAATTAATTTTATTAAACTTTATGAGTTAATTGGAAATTCTCCTATATAGATAGTTATCCTTGATTATATAGATATGTTATCATTTTTCTGAATTTTTAATGCGATTAATTTCTGGCCATCCTTGATTTCAAGAATTCATGGAAATCCTTATAATGGGAATCATGAAAGTGGAAATATTAATTAATTCAAGCTCTGGCTTCAGACAATTCATTCCGAAAATGTGATATAGTCATAATTGTCGATTACGGTTGACTTTTGATATATAATTTTAATTAAAGAATTTTAATAGTACGCAATCTATTGTTTTAAAAAATAAAATTTAATAATATGCTCTTTTGTTTTAATTCTTATCTGTCTATATTACTTTATCACCAATCAATTAGGTGGAGCAAACCCTTTTACTCGCGTTCATGTATCGTTAAACTATTTATTTGTCGCCACTTGCTCGTACTTAACAAAGCACAATTCATCGATCTTTATTCCCTCCCTCCCTCTATATATATATATATATAATGCTATAACCACGCGTAAGAAGAGTTCTCAAGTATAAAAAGTTTATAAATAATTACGTAAACTAATAGTCTAATGCATAAAATAATGCGAATGCGTGTGTATGTGTTATTAAAACTTTGAACATGTTAGAACCAGAATTTTATGTCACGAATTAAATAATAAAATTAAATAAAGGATTTTAGGACATATGTACACTAAAATAATAAAATTAAATAAAGGATCTTTAAATACTCATAGGATAAGGGGCTGGATTCTCTTTTGTAGCATCTCTCCAAGTCTCAAGGTTCCTTAATGCATGTACATATGTGAAGTGTGAATTGACTTGATTTGATATGAAAAAAAAGTTTCATATTAAATGGAGTTGCATCGAGGAAGAGTTATATAAGTTAAAAAGATTTATAAATTAACATGTCAAGAGATTTTAAATTAAGATGAAGTGCCATACTAATTTATATATATATATATATATATAATTCTTCTTATAAGTAGGGCGAGCTATTAGATATATAGTTTAAATATACTAATCACTTTCACCAATATATTCTCAACAACGGCCAAATAATAACTCAATCTTCCTTTACCCACTCCTAAATTCCACTCAGATGAACCAAAATTGAGAGGCCATGAGTGATAGTTGGGTCCATCCAAAACAGGAGAAACAGTTGCGAAAACGAGGGTCAAGAGGGCATAAAGAAGACCTAGAGGGGAGAAGTATTGCTCAGAGGCTCTAATGCCAAATGGCCGGTGAGCCAGAAAAAATCAATTTTTAATTTCATTGATACGCTAATTAAGTGTTTTAGATGCTACTGCAAGTCACTTAGCATGTACAACACTACATAAATAAAATAAATACAACTAATTAAATACATTACTCAACAATTCTACAACACTTTAGTTAGGGGGGAAAAAACTCTGTCCTTCCTCTCTTATGTACAAGGAATCAGTTTCACTGCTGCTCATGTTCATTATCTTTGGACTATTCAGATCTAACTTGGATGATTCAAATTTACAGATTTTTACTTTTACTTTTTTTAAAATTATTTTAATGAATACATAATCTAAAATAAATTAAGACAATTTCTTACCTATCAGTTTTTTTAAATAATTTTTTATTTAAAAAACACCCATTGAAAAACTTTTAATCTTAACCATAAAAATTAGATCTAAACGGTTCAGAGGCAATGAATCATTGCTCATTGTGTTTGAGTATTGAAATCGGTTCGTATGTATAGCTGGTGCATATTTAAAAGGAGAGAGAGAGAAGAATATTGTTCTCCTTTTTATAAGTTATATTATTAATTTTTTGTCACAATTTTTTTCTTTTAACTTTCATTAAATATTGGTGAGAGAAATTACATTATTACATGATGTATATTTAATATAAATAAAGTTAAAAATAAAGTTTAGTTAGATGTTAATAATTTTTAAGAATTTTCTTATAAGTTCCTCTAAAATATATTAGAAGTGATTTAATTATAAATAAAAATGATAAAAATATATGAAACACATACTTGAAAACGGAGAGTTACAATGTATTTACAATACACAGATGTGACGTTCACATTAGAAGCAATATATTACTTTTAAATTATGGTGGGACATCAACATCAAGTCCACCGTCGGCATTTCTAAAATCTCTCTTATTAGACAATGCCTACGGATCCTTAGATGTATCTGAAGGACCGCGAACCACCAACTCCAAGATTATTATACTATCCATCTCTCTCCCTCTCTGGTTTAGAGCCTATAAATCCATGCAATAAGGATATATTCCTCTCCACAACTCACAAGTCACAAAGCCTTCAGATATTAACCCTAATTATTCTTATATTAACCCTAATTATTCTTGTCGACCAGTATGGGTAGCATTGAAGGTTACAAAGTGGTAGAGAACAACTTTACAGTGACGGTGATGAAGGAGGAGGTGGTGGCTGCGGTGTTGCCGTTGCAAGAACATTGGCTTCCGCTCTCAAACCTCGACCTCCTTTTGCCGCCGCTTGACGTCGGAGTCTTCTTTTGCTACGACAAGCCGGCGGCCACCGTGACCTCGGTGGTTGGGGCTCTGAAGAAAGGGTTGGCTGAAGCTCTGGTTTCCTTCTACGCCTTGGCGGGTGAGCTGGTGACCAACTCCTCCGGCGAACCAGAGCTCCTCTGCAACAACCGTGGGGTTGATTTCGTGGAGGCCGAGGCTGACGTGGAGCTGAAAAGCCTCGACTTGTACAACCCTGATGATTCCATCGAAGGGAAGCTTGTTCCTAAGAAGAAATACGGCGTGCTTGCTGTTCAGGTGACGTCGTGAACTCCGGTCTATTACAAACACGTAATAAACTGTAATGTTTAAAATAATAATAATAAAGCGTATATTGGCCAAAAAAAGGAAAACGTGTTATCATAATTATGATATATAACAATTATTTTCTTTAAAATATATGTAAAAAAACTAGTCAATGTTTAAGAATTAATATAACTCCTGGAAAATGTATTTTATTTTTGTTTAACTAATAAATAAAATTACTATAATAATATATTTACTTTAGTAGAGAAGATATTTTTAGTAATTAATATAAATATAATTTTTTTAAGTTTACGTGAATTAAGTTCCACTAACTCACAAAAGCTAGGGTATGATTCTAGATTGAAAACGTATTTATAGATATACTTATAAATTATCTATCAATAAAGACATCAAACGGTACAGTAAGATTTAAATTCAGAAATTATGAGTCAAATTTTTATAAACTAAACCAATCTTTCTTGACATGATAAAAATTGTATTTGTGAATGTAAAATTACTAATAATCTGACATTATTATATTATATTTGATGATCATAAAGGTAACTTTTACGTGATTGAACTCGATTAATATGTAGTCTTCGCCCAAAAAGGCATGTAGCGTAGTCAGACACTAAAGATAAGAAGTAAGGAATTTAATTTTTGTAAATTCATTAATTTTCCTAATAAATTACAAATACTAGAATAACCATTAGTAAACGGCATAGATTAAATTTATTTGTCTTCTTGTTATTAGGTTCTTAAACAATTACGCCATTTTTATAAGTTTGTTTGTCTTTTTTGTTACGTTATAACAGTTTGAGGTTTGGACAAATTACATGATTTTAATAAATAAAAAAATAAATAGTTTCTTTTTAACTCATCAAACACTTAAATTTTCATCGAAAAATTGAATAAATAACAAGAGAAAGAACGTGTCATCTAATTTAACCGTGATCAACCATTGAATTATATTTTAATTATAGAATTAGTAAACTTGCACGTAAACTTGCATTAAGATACACTACAAAAGACTAATTTTTTAACGATGCTGTCTTAATCATTGAATTTAATTATATCATTGAGATGAGACATTTCTTAGCAATGACTATGTATACTAATTTGTACGACCGTGTCAATTATGGATAAGGTCCAACTGTGGTTACTAACCATAGTTAGAGTCAAATCATGATTAGTTCAATCAAACCACAATTTATATAATCGTGATGCATGTTACCATATTTTACCAAGTTTTAGCTTAAATAGCCAAGATTTTTGTTAAAAAAGATTGTGGTTAATACAATTCACATACTCTCACTTTACCTCAAAATACTGCATAACTTGATCTCATCACTTTACAAGATCCAATTTTTTTTTTAACGAAAATTCAAATTTATCTATTAAATTCAAGGCAGTTGTTGCATCCCATAACCTACCACGAACTGAAGCCAACTAATTTCCATCCGTACAATATATAGTTTGGTTTAGGTTCACTATTAGAATTATTATTATTGAATTAAATAAAATTATAATATCATACTCACTAATTAATTATCAAATCTACACTGTGCAGGCTACATTTCTTGAGTGTGGTGGTTTAGTAGTGGCGTGCTCTTTCGATCACCGCATTGCCGATGCTTACTCAGCCAACAAGTTCCTCGTATCTTGGGCCCAGTTGGCCCAATCTGCCCAGCCCACTAAGCCCACAATCCACACTCTTTCCTCGCGACCATGTTTCCGTCGTTCTCTCCTCAGTCCACGGAGGCCCGGTCGATTTCATCCTTCCATCGACCGCATATTTGTCCCTGTCTCCGACCTGCCTCCTCCGAAGGAACCCAATGCGGAATCCGAATCCGACCCTGTCATCAGTCGGATCTACTATATCACGGCCGACGAACTTAACCACATTCAATCACTTGCGAACTCGGACTCAAACGTCGACGTCAATGCGGTGAAGCGAACCAAACTTGAGTCTTTTTGCGCCTTCTTGTGGAAGATGGTTGCTGCGAGTGCCAAGGGCAAAGGGGTCATCACAAAAATGGGGATTGTCGTGGACGGAAGGATGAGGCTGAGCAATGGTCGTGACAAACAGAAAGCTTCGCTTTTGGGTTCGTATTTTGGAAACGTGCTTTCAATACCGTTCGGCCAAAAGCTGGCAAGGGAGCTGACGGAGAAGTCGTTGAGTAGGGTGGCCGACAAAGTTCACGAGTTCTTGGAAGAAGCAAAGACGGAGGAGCATTTCCTGGGCCTCATAGACTGGGTTGAGGCGCACCGCCCTGGCGGTGGAGTGGCGAGGATATATTGCGGCGGCGGAGACGGAGAAGAAGAAGAGGGGCCAGCTTTTGTGGTGTCGTCGGGGCAAACATTCCCAGAAGAGAAGGTGGATTTCGGGTGGGGGAGGCCAGTGTTCGGGTCGTACCACTTCCCATGGGGTGGCGACGCCGGGTATGTGATGCCGATGCCGAGCCCGGCGGGGAAGGGCGATTGGGTGGTGTACATGCACCTTCGAAGAGGACAATTGGAGAAGATAGAGTCTGAAGCGGGTCGTGTGTTTAGGCGCTTGACTTGGGACTACCTTGTTCATTGATGTAGTGCATATATATATCTGGACTGATAGTTAATTATTGTGTATGATCATGAATGTGTGATTTGAATAAAAGTGATTTCTTGATCTTCTAAGTATCCTGTGTGCATATTTTACCTGGTTATCAGCGAGGAGAAACTCCATGTTGTTTTTGCTTTTCAGTTTACGGTAACTAATTAACTGAGAGTAGATATTTAATGAAGGTGTATTTTCGATGATTAGAAGATTTAGGTTTTCCTCATGATCACGATGCCGTTGTACATGTCACACAGACACATGCATCATGAGATGTGTATCGATACAATTAATGGGCAGGTAAAAAAAAAATGCAATTGATAGGGCATGCATGAATTAATTGATTTCTTAGAATTTTGTTGTCATTCTCCTTAAAAATTATTATTCTCCCACCTTCCAGTCCACTTTTTTGAGTTAAAATCTTCTAAAATTAGTTGTTTAAAGTACTGTAAATCAGATAATATTAGCCGTCTGTTAAACCAACTTTCATGACTACACTATTCAGGAATGGAAATAGAATAGGTTAAGTTTTGGTCAAATAAATTTAAACCTGACTTAAAATCTATATAAAATTTTTCTTCATAGTGCAAGTTTGAACTAACCTAATTTGGCTCAAAAGTCTATTTAAGATTGAACCTTTTAAATAGGATAATACATAATAGGATTGTAAAATTTCAAATAGACTGTAGACTATTAAAGCCTACACATACACAACCTAATTTATTAATTACAACACATAATAAGTAAGAGTATCACCAACTACAATACAATTCAATATAGTAATGACGTTGAAATCAATATATAAATTCAATTTGATTGAAAACATAACCAATGCACTAAAAATAAAAAAAGAACAAATCAATTAAAAATCACATGGTATCGACATGCCATCAATTTATCATACAAAAGCTAATAAAAAAGAACCCAGCCAAGGAAGAATTGCCTAGTGTTTTCAAGTTTCGATTCAAAGAAGGAAGGAAGTGAAGTCAATTATTTCCTAATTCCTAAATTAAATAATATATACATATTATATATATATATATATGTTATATAATAATATGCATGTCACTATGTTGGCTTACTAGGCCTGGCTTATTTATCTAAGTAGGCATTGTGTATCGTGTATTGGCTTGTTGTTGTGTATGTGTGGCCACATTTCTTTAAACCCATTTACTAATCAATTTTCTCTCTTTAGCATTTATAATCTTGAAGCTCTCTTGTACGTTTTTTTTTTTTGATACACCCACACAAAACTTGAACACAAAATGAACCTAATATGACCTATTTAGTAAATAGGTAAGGCTGTTTGGATTACTTTCATATTTAAATTACCACTTATAATAAATAAAGCAGTGCATAATAGAGGGCGTAGTCTATAAGTTTTTATAGACTTGCCAACTTTATGCCACTTTGATTTCATCAACAAATGATTTCAAATTTATGAAACTTTAAATAGCTAGCTTTTGAAAATTTTGGTCTGAGACTAAGACAACCCTAGAAGTGGTCGATCCATATACATTTCTTCCAGGTCTTAGATTAGGTGAGCCACGTGGCATGGACTAAGCTACTTTCCCTCCCTTTTCCCAGTCTTCCCTTGACATCCGTCAGCCCCGTTTGTATTTTGATATTTTCTCACCCTTCTCCCCCACTTTCGGATACTTTTCTCTGGTTCTTTACCATTTACTCTTTTTTAAATTTATTTTTATTTGTTATTTTTTAAAATATCAAATTAGAACTATTTAAACAATTGTACCGTAGGGGGATATTTTATAGAATTGAGACTAAGATCAGATGGTGAAGAGAGCTTCATAAAGACCTGATTGGAACCTAAATTTTTTGAATGTTTTCCGGCGTGTGAATTACCGAGGAATAAAGGGACTATCACAGTGTAACTGAATAGACAGATGAAGTCACGAAGAGGATAGAATCGGAGTCAGAACTTAGACAACACCAAGAAGAAGAGGGTGAGAGAGGTGGAGACTCGAGATATATGAAGACTTTGTTCTTTGAGTGAGAGGAACAAGCAAGAGTGAGAGGCAGCGTCGCCACAAGACTTGGACTTGGACAGTGCCAAGACGCTAGAAGACGAAGGTGATGCTGTGATGGTAAGGCGAGAAGAGAGCCGAGACTGAGAGCAGGAGTAGAGGCAGATCTCGATTGAGAGAGAGCAGCGATTTGCATTCTGTCATTCTTCTTTAGGGTTAGCTTGCACACAACCTTGTCCTTGTCTTTAATTGTGAGCAACTCAGTTTTGGACCAAAAACAAAGTCAGGAAGTGGGATGATGGGGTTGCAAAGTAATATTTGATCACTGGGGTTTCTTGTGGTGTCAATGAATACCATATGGCTTTGAACTAACCCCTTAGAACTTCCACCCTCTCACAACATGATCATGCCATGCCACAATATGCATTTTCCCTACACATACACATTCTTCATGTATTTATATCTCATACAACAAGACAATCATGATCAACTATTGGCATTCATTTCCTTTAAACCATTTTCACAAACAAATATGTAAGTCTTTCCAAAAGCATTCCCACTTTACGTAGTTTTCTAAAACCAAAAATATATTTATAAATACATATGTCAAAATATTGCATGCATTTTCACAAAACTCATAAACAATCTAATAAGCAAATAGAATGATTAGATTATCTGATTGGCTTAACCTTTTGTTTACTAAGAAAGGGTTATCCATGGGATTTATGCACTCATCAAGTTTCCTCTTGCTCAAAGAGTATCCGAGCAACGTTTATCTACATATTTAAACACTGCTTGGTCAATTACAAATTCTATTTGACATATACATAGCTAACTCTAGCCAACAATGCACATTTCTCTTCTTTAACATAACCCAAATTTCATTATTCTTTCATTAGCTCCATTTAATTTCCATTAAGTTAAATAATACCACTTAACATCCCACAATGCTCCTAACTTCCAATTTGACCTTAGGGTTCGTCTAAACCCTAAAGCCCAACCACAAAACACATTAAAATCACTAATCCTAAATTAGTTTGTTGTTTGCTGGTTATATTTTTTTAAAAAAAAATTGTGTTAGAATTAACTTTATTCATTACACAAGTTTTATAATCGATAGTTTAATTTGTGATAGCTTAAATGGTTGTTGATTATAGTTGATCAAATTAATGATTTAATGTCTGAAGGACCTCTATTTATAGGCTGTGCTGCTGCTGATTTTTTGTTAAAAAACTCAATATAAATTATTTGGCAAATGCTTGATAAATGCTTTTGAATGTACGTATGATAAATGCTTGAATTTTTTTTATTAATTAGAGTTGATAATTATTGATAATACCACTGAGATTTAATGAAATTGGTATTTTATTAGGAACAAATTGGTATTTATAACTTGTTATGCTGCTATGTAAGTGTTTATTTTTATTGCTAATTTTAATATCTATAATTTTTATTTTATCGATAACATATTTGTTATTATCAAAGGTACCTTCACAATATTTGCACCCAACTACATGTGGATCATAACTATGGGTTTTTTATCTTCAGTTTTAACCACATGCGGCAAAGTAAATCTAGGAACATATGTTGGAAAGGCGATGCATAAGCAAAACAAGAAGGATATTAAATTTCTAATTCTTCTCTAAATTTATAGAAAATTTACTTAATGTGATATTAATATAAACTAATATATTGTAGCTACCATTGCTATTTGCCCATATGAAAATATTATATATTGATTCTATTCATTACAATGGGAAGTAAGCGAAGATATAAAGTCCTTGTTTGAATTGTATGTTTTTTAATATTGTATTAATATACACATGTAAGAAAATATTAATTATATGCTAATAATATCTTAAAATTAATAGCATATAATTAATATTTTTTTCATGTGTATATTTGATAAATAAATCTTTATTGATGTATTGGAAGTTAGTGAGAAATATGGAAAAGAAGAGCATTAAAATCAACTAGGTGGATGTGATAGTAAGTATTTCAAATTTATTTTTTAGGTGAAATAAATATTATATTTTATAAAAAATAATAACTATTATATTATTATTTTTATGAATTTAATTATTTTTTTATTAGTATCCTGAACAATCAGGAAGTGTAAAGTTTCATTACTATATGAAGCTTTTCATGTATGAATCATCACTAAAGATATTATTCACTCATTTCATATGGTAATAATTTATTAACAATAATTTTTATTTTGATATGGCCCAAAAATAATTAGGATGAGACTTTGCGAGACAGGACAAGAAATGGGTTCGAGATGGGATGGGATATGGGATTATCATTAAGACATCTCGTCCCGTCCCGAATATTATATATATTATTTTTTATTTTAAAAATGTATGTTAAATATATTAATTATATTAATATAATTTATACTTATATTAATTATATCAATTATAATTTCAATAGTTGCAATTCTTATACAAAACTAAAGTTTTTTATATTGATAATTTTAATGACATAGAGTAAATATGGTGATATCTTTCTTTATAATATATTAATTATATTAATACAATTTATTCTTATATCTGTCTATTTAATAACTTTTATTTATATTATATTTCTTGTTTTATTTTTGGAAGAGTAATTAACTTAGCATATCTCAACTAAAGTAGAAGAACAATAATTTGATGTTGTGCTTGATTTGCTTGTTGTTGTTGCTCTTATAGCCTAGAAATTACTTGTAATTGTTATCATAATTTATAGTTGTGATTAATGTAATTCAATAATAGATTTTAAATTGTTTTGATTTATATATTTATGTTGTTTTAATTTTAAACTTAATAAATTATATGATTTAAACTTTTAATGAATATTATTATTCATATTTTTTTTGACATTGTCTAATTTATCGGGATGATAGGATGTCTTGATTTTGTCTCAATCTTATCCTAATTCCTAATAAGATGGGACAACTTTTGGGATGAAATAAGATACGGAATAAAAATTCAGTCTCGATATTTTTTTTTCGAGACGAGACACGGGACAGGGGTGTCCTGGTCCCATCCTATCCCGTGAATATCCTTAATCTTAGTCATTAAAATATTACATATTTAATAAATCTTTAAGTTCAAAATTTTTTTATTTAGTTTAAAGGTGTAAAATTGCAAATTTTATATTTCTGGTAAATTTTCTCAAAATGCACCCCTCACTGTGACGTGGTTCCGCCACTAGTTTCATCTATGGACGTGATACTTCTCCCTGCGCTTCCCTTATCACATTCATTTAATGTAGTGATATCGATAGTTGTGCTCGTAAAGTTGACAGAAAAATATGATAAAGAAATAAAGAGGTACAGTTTAGTGTTGTTAAAAAAAAAATCAATTGATATATGCAATGAGTCGTGTTATTTATTAATCATGATCATGTCAACAATACTGACTCAAATTCTAGATTCCATACAAACATTTCAGATCGACTTTGTTGATAGTGCTATAAGAATGGAAGAGCCACTGTGTTGATAGTGCTGTGAGAAGATCATGTATTTGTCCAACACCAAATTTCTGGGTGGAGTCATTGAATGTAGAAGACACAATTTTCAAGAATATATTGGCAGACCTCTGCTTTTACAATTTTAGATTCCATTTCAGTCAAATGAACATTCCTTGCCGGCTAAACAAATAGCATTAACTATCAACAAATGTTAGCCCAATTAATAAAAATTTGATTTATGATATACAAGGTTTAAAATTAAACCCTGCTGTCATTATAAAAACCTTATTAATAGGTAATATGTAAATATTTTTGTAAATGTTCATTAAACCTAAAAGTATATCCTGATTTTGGTGAATTTCAGGACCCAACTCATGTATTTTTTTTTTATACTAAACAAATAGCATCAACTCAATATCTCATATATTTCATAGTGCTGTTTAATTTTATCCCTTAGATCTTATGAAAGAAAGCAACAAAGTTGAATTGAAGGGTTTAACACAAGTGTGTGTGTGTGTGTGTGTGAAATGCAACATGTGATGTAATTGGTGTTGTGAGTGTGTTGTTGACACAAATGTGAAAGATGGACCCTTTGCTGCAGATATAATTTGGTTCATGTTATGTGCTCTCTCGCTACTTATAATTACTTGCCACTTTCACCATTTGGTAGGGTTCTTGTGGCTGTGGCGAGGCTTCGTGTAACCATGCAGTCCCATTATTTACGGTAAGTATAAATCGTGCCACTAAATATAAATGGATTTAAATCTAAATATGTGGTTAAGTATATTCTAGCATGCAAAATTTATAATTTAGAATGCAGCACTTGTTTTAGCGTTGGACATTTAGAAAGTCTCAAATCACATGACCGTGAATTACAAGTTACCAAAATTTTGTATTAAAAAATAACTAGCCCAAAACAAAGCGGTGAATCAAGATTCAAATTTTCCGCAAGAGATATGCAGAGTGAAAATATTAGGAAAGAGAGAAGAAAACAGTTTGTGAAGGGGGTCTTCGAAAATATAAAAATGAGCTGTCTATGGGGGACCGTGGGATTGAGGAGGAAGGTGCAGAACTTGGCTTATTGACTCCACGAAGGGAGTCAGGAAAACACAAGAGAAACTGAACCAAATCTGCTTGCTCTTAAATTCCACTCACAAGAAAAACTTACATGTTCTACGCGGAAAATAAGAAGTGCAATGCGTAGAAACGTTCCATTCACGTTAGAAAAAAACACCCGAATTATTTTACGCTTCCAAAAAAAAAAACAAAGATTAAAGCGTTTTTTTGTCTTCAACTATTCAATTAGCAACATATAGTATCCTAAACTTTTAAGTAGTGAAATTTCCCCTTTGTCATTCAAAAATGGTGCGATGAGCCCCTTACTATTAAAAAAAATTAAATTTAATTATTAATTAATTTAAAAATTATAGAAAGTTATTTCAAAAATTATAAAAAATAATTAACTATAAAATTACACCTAAATACTTTATAAGAAAATTAAGTCTCTGAAATAAGGGTTTCATAATACATACACATATACATATGCATATTCATTGATAATTGTTCACTTTTAAAATAAATATAATAAGATGTGGTTTAATTTTGTTATATTACCCATCTCCCTCCTTATATCCCTATAGGATCAGTGCCTATAAATCCATGCAAGGATATGAGCTAGTCCTTTCATAGATATCATCAATCATCAAACTTCTTCTCCTTTCTTCATACTTCAGAGCCACGAAACCTTCAGAGAGGTTAACCCTAATTATCATAGCTATCTTGCTAGCCACAATATGGGTCGCATTGAAGGCGGCAAAGTGGGAGAAAACAACTTCACTGTGACGGTGACGAAGGAGGAGGTGGTGGCTGCTGTGTTGCCGTTGCCAGAGCATTGGCTTCGGCTCTCCAACCTCGACCTCCTTCTGCCGCCGCTAGACGACGGAGTCTTCTTTTGCTACAATAAGCCAGCTGCCGCCGGGACTGTTGTGGTGGGGGCTCTCAAGAAGGGCTTGGCTGAAGCTCTGGTTTCCTTCTACGCCTTGGCGGGTGAGGTGGTGGCCAACTCCTCCGGCGAACCGGAGCTCCTCTGCAACAACCGTGGCGTTGATTTTGTGGAGGCTGACGCTGACGTGCAGCTGAGAAGCCTCGACTTGCACAACCCTGATGATTCCGTTGAAGGGAAGCTTGTTCCTACGAAGAAACACGGCGTACTTGCTATTCAGGTGACTTTTTGAACTCCGGTCTATTGTAAACACGAATTATAAAGTGTAAATTTAAAATAAAAATTATTACTACCATCATCAAACGAGCCATAAAATTAGGCTCATGAGAAAACCATATTATCTTCCAATCCCGATGCGGTCATGTTACTGTCAGATGTTAATAAAATCATATGATTGTATTGTATAGTTATATATACAATCATATGAGTACATTTCTCAATTATGGTTAAAGTATTCTGGTTCAGTGAAGATCTAACCAGACTAACCACAGTTAGAGTCTAACCTTGATTAGTTCAATCTAACTAGTGCTTTATGTTTGGCTCTCTATAAATGCTTATTAACAATTTAGCATGTACACAAATTACTATATACGTTCTCTTTACTTCACTATACTTCAGTAACTGATCCCGTTTTGCAGGATCCCAATTTATTTTTTGAATAAACCGATCAACTATAAATTATATAATAGGAATGCATGAAATGAATGACCGAGTTGTTGATGACATTGTTCCATCCCATAAGCAAAAGCGAACTAATCTTTATCCGTACAATATAGTATTTGGTTTAGGTGCAGTGATTACTGATTAGGTCTCTCCTATTACTAATTCATCATCATCATCATCATCGTTGTTAAGTTAAATAATTATTTACAAAAAATATATAACTAAATTATTGTACTCAGTCATTAATTATTATAAAATCTACACATTGCAGGCTACATTTCTCAAGTGTGGTGGGCTAGTAGTTGCATGCTCTTTCGATCACCGTATCGCCGATGCCTACTCGGCCAACATGTTCCTTGTATCTTGGGCCCAGCTGTCACAGTCCACCAAGCCCACAATATCCACTCTTTCATCGCCACCATGTTTCCGCCGATCTCTCCTCAACCCACGGCGGCCCGGTCGCATCCATCCGTCGCTCGACCGGATGTTTATTCCAGTCTCCGACCTACCTCCTCCAAAGAAGCACAGTGCCGAATCCGAATCCGACCCTGTCATTAGCCGGATCTACTACATCACGGCCGACGAACTTAACCACATTCAGTCACTTGCGAACTCGGACTCAAACGTCGACGTCAATGCGGTGAAGCGAACCAAACTTGAGTCTTTATGCGCCTTCTTGTGGAAGATGGTTGCTGCGAGTACCAAGGGCAAAAGGATCATCACAAAAATGGGAATTGTCGTAGACGGAAGGAGAAGGCTGAGCAATGGTAATGACAAACAGAAAGCTTCACTTTTATGTTCGTATTTCGGAAACGTGATTTCAATACCGTACGGCGAAAAGTCAGCGAGGGAGCTGACGGAGAAGTCGTTGAGTTGGGTGGCCGACGAAGTTCACGAGTTCTTGGAAGAAGCAAAGACGGAGGAGCATTTCCTGGGCCTCATAGACTGGGTTGAGGCGCACCTCCCTGGCGGTGGAGTGGCGAGGATATATTACGGCGGCGGAGACGGAGAAGAAGAGGGGCCAGCTTTTGTGGTGTCGTCGGGGCAAACATTCCCGGAAGAGAAGGTGGATTTCGGGTGGGGGAGGCCAGTGTTCGGGTCGTACCACTTCCCATGGGGTGGCGACGCCGGGTATGTGATGCCGATGCCGAGTCCGGCGGGTAAGGGCGATTGGGTGGTATACATGCACCTTCGAAGAGGACAATTGGAGAAGATAGAGTCTGAAGCGGGTCGTGTGTTTCGGCGCTTGACTTGGGACTACCTTGTTCATTGATGTAGTGCATATATGTATCTGGACTGATAGTTTAATTATTGTGTATGATCATGAATGTGTGATTTGAATAAATGGCAAAACTTGGGATTTGAATCCAGTAACTGGATTTCTTGAAGATAACTATATTAATCATCTAAGTTTAAGTATATAAGATTTACCCTTGAATAACAGTGATTAACTATATTAATCACACTGGTTACATATTTTACCGTTTCCAGTGAGTAGACACTCATTTTTTTTGGTACAGTAAAGGGCTAATCAACCCCCCCCAAAAAAAAAGAGAAACTAAACTAGAGAGGATTGACATCTCAAACGATTAATCCATGTTAACTAATAAGTTCATCGGAAAATCTGGAACTGAATCACAAAAAGAGGAAGACGTAAGTCCTTCGGCCGGACAATTATATATATATATATATATTTTTTTTTTTTTTTGGCTTTCTGAAAAACTAACACTCGCTCCCTTCATATGTTGCACGAGAGCATTTTCTTAAAGAGTTTCCTCACTTTAATTTTATTCAGATCATTTCTTACATTACTTACTTTATATATTTAATCTGCCTTTATAATAGTATGATTCATATGGATACGATTCAAAAATGTATTTAGACCGGAGAATAATTTTGTCCGCAAATCGGAGCTCATTATAAATAAAAGTAGAATGAAATGTTTAATGTCAATCCATCAAAGTAGAATGAAATCCTTGATACTATAAATATGATTTGAAAATTTGTCTACATACACACTCAGCATTTTAGAAAAGAATAAGCGCACACTTTTTCTTCAACTCCAATTTATCGACTTGTCCATTAAAAGTCATTGGTCCAATATGCGAAAAACACGCTATCCCATTTATTGAATCCCCATTTTCATTTCTGAGAAAGCTCCTCCTCAGTTTATGTGTTACATGGATGAAGTTATATGGATAACAGATGGATAAGATACAATGCATTGTATAATATATTCAATTGACTACTTTTTTTAAAAACACTTTACCATCTTGATATTGCCACCTGATGTATCCCTTTTGAACTCAGTTATTCCTTACCTTGAACTTCATAAAAGCCTCTTAAGGGAAATCTCTTGCCCATGTGCTAACTTTCCCTGTATTTCAACATATGCAAGTATAATGAGATACTTTTTATAGTATGATTACTTCGAATGCTGCTATCTTGACACCAGGAGAGTTGATTACCCTATATACAGGTTCAAAGCTTCCTTCTCCTATCCGGTTCTCTGATGAGACGTTATCAATTGCAATAGCCAATGTGGAAAAGTCAAGCAATGGTAGATTCAGATCATCCACACTTTCCCATGTTTTGCTCCTTCATTATCATCAGGTTTCTGACAAAATGGAGATAAAGCTTTTATTTAGTACTTACAAGGATAATTTACATGATGGTTTATTCAATGACTTAATTTACTGCTTTCTACTTCGGTTTTTAGTTGGTTTTCCCAATAGTTTTACCTTATAAATGTTTAGGAAATAACTTGTGCAAAAATTAGTTCCCAGCACTTGATGTAAATTTTCTTTACTGTTTTAGAATAAGAGCTTCTTAAGGTGAGAACTCGCTATTTTTAAAATGTTGTGACTCCATTGCAACATTCTTTTTTCCAAATTCCATGGAGTAATATTAACTCGCTCAACAAATAAACACAAAGATGGATTATTTCACTCGTACAACTACATCTCTTCCAATTGAGTGGCTTGCTGCATAATTGTACATACCATTATATTTGTCAACCATAGCCAAAGTTGTATAAGGAAATAGAAAACAAAAAATAATGTGATAAGAAAAGTTAATGAACCTCTCAATGCTTTATACAATAGCAATTTGACTTCATAGGGGGTGAAACAATATATCATCAAAATGGCATTGGTTGGGAGAAGAGAATGGCATATGAAAGTTCTCATAACACAAATCTACAACATATTTAAAGTTGATGCCTCCATGTCTATCTAAGGACCCTCAACAACTTAAACATAAGAAAACACTTTGTCATTCAATGGTCATAAACCACTGCAAAAGGTTTAGCTCACTTTTCTTTCGGCTTTCTAGCTACATCAATATGCACAAATAGGCACGACTGCAGGCACACAACATCCCTTGCAAAGCAAAAACAGAACAAGCAAAACTAAAAGGAAGCTGGTGCATAAAAGCACATGTATCAATTTGTTAAAATTACACATATAACCTGCACAAATAAGTTAATTGAAACTGAAGAAAAGAAAAGAGAGAAGATGAGAGATAAGAGAAGTAAAAAGGGAGAGAAACCGAGCCTAAAAAAGCACCAAGAGTAGACCAATAAAACCAGAGGAAAGCAAAATTGTGATTTATATGAAAGGCAGTAACTGTCATTACACCAGACAATATAAATTAGACTAATCAAAAGCATTATAATATATTTAAATAGATATACATGAATTTTTGGGATTATCAAGGCTATTAAGCACAAACTGGGTAATGGTTCAGACTTGGGGTAATAGTTTTGCTGAATCACCTGAGTTTTCACAAAAAGTTGATGGCTCTTGTGGCATTTTATCTCTCCTTACTCTTACTTTAGCTTAGTCTGAAAATTACATAATAGTGTTGACTTTATGCAAAACTCGAATTGGATAGAAAAGAATTGACAACTGGCTACAGATTTAGCAAGATGTCATTAAGTAACTATGCATCTTCAAATTTCTATTCTACCGAAAAGAAAAGGGAATGCTAGAGATTTAACACCGTATGGCCTAAACAACAGTTGTTCTTAATTTTTAAACTTGGATTTGAAACGTTAATTAGAGGATAAATTAGTGGATTAATTAATTTAATCATATTTTGAATCATAAATTGATATTTTGGTCATTGGACTAACCATTGCATGATCAAGCTAGGAGGAGAGTTGACTCAAGCAGGGTCAGAATGGGTGAGGTAAAGTGAGATTTAGCTCACTATACCATGCACCATGACTCATGGTGCCAAATTTTGCCTTTAAGTTCATGGATTAGCTTATGGAACTAGAGAGGAAAGAGGGGAAAATAGAGAAAATAGACATTGGTTTTTGGGCAATTTAGAGTTATTTCTGACTTGTCATCTATCAAATAAGTTTTGTATCTTCTTTCTCTCTCTATTTATCCTAATTTCTTTAGGCTTGAGATGTGAGGGAAATGAATTCTAAGATAGGAAGGGGTTGCTATTGGGCCCAAAGATCGTTAAAGGGTTATTTAAAATTAAATTAAGAGTTTGTAACTAAATTAGTAATTGTTAATTGAGTTTTAAGGCTTTGGTTCAATTTCAGTTCCAAAGGTTTTATAGTATGAAAAATCTGTATTGATGTTAATAGGGTTATTTGAAGTCGTAGAAGGTAGTTTGGACACAAGATTGTCCAAAGAAGGGAATTGGGAGTTAAGTTAGTTCAATTGTACTAATAAGTACTTGTGTTCAATTTGAAATTGACGTATAATGTTAAATCTTGTAGATTTTAATCTTGAAACCTCTTTGAGTTTGAAGTAAGTTGAAATGTAAGAAGTGACCACATGTAACCCTTTTAATAATAAAAAGGTTGAAGAAATTAGATAATTTATATTGTTTCTTTGCTTGTTTAACTGTTTGCAAGTGGGGAAAAGAAAATGACTTTTTAGAAAATAATATGTGTTTATTGATTATATTTGTAATTGAAGCTAAACGATCTCAAGACAAGTGAATAATAGTGTATTAATTGCACTATATGTGTGAAAAACCTCGATCACGATAGTGGGGGTGTGAGTTTACCCTGTATAGAATAGAAATCAAAAACCATATAATCAGGCCGGTACCATAAGACATCCAGTATAGCAAACATGTTATGGAATGTTACCACAGGACATCCAAGCAATCATAATATGCACTCTTCAATACCTAAAAAGGTGTAGTATTACAGTATACGACACCCCAATTATGTGTGTAATAGAGAAAATTCATAGTCTGAAAGTAGAATGAAACACATTTGGCTAGGTAGTTCTCCCATAGAAGGTGAACTCAAATAAGCTTTCTCACAGTTGGTTAGTGTTGTGGCCTATAAATTTAGTTTAAGGTAAATGCAGAAGTTCAATTGGAGAGTGTGATCATGTATGTTATATTGATTATATGTATTATAACATGTTTTTTACAATCCTGCTTTGTATGCTTGTTTATAGTTTTACTTGTTACTAGATAGTTGTGAATTATTTTAGTTACTAGGACTTTATCTTATGTCGTGCTTACTATTTTACTGGCTTAGTATAACACCCTAATTTTAAAATTAATTAATATTTGATTGATGTATAGAAATTAAAACTAGAAAAATTAATCTTGAAATGAGAGAGAGCCACAAAAATTTTCTTTCCATTTCATGAATATTATAAAATATAAGAAGAAAAAGTCTCGTTAAATATTTCATATAATGTCACTAAATTTCATAAAAAATTTTGCAATTGCTTCCTTCAATAATTAAACTTTTGATGTAACTATCCTTGTATGATATACACATGATCCAATAGATCTTGAATCCAAGCATGATTTGTACTACTTCCTGATAAGCTATTGACGATGTACTAGACAACCGACATCTGGACACATTACGACAGAAAAACAAAGTGAGAATTACAAACTCAGTAAGATATGTCAAGCTTGAGCTAATAATGGTCTAGCCGCCTCATGTACGAAAAATAATTTTCTCATTCTTGTCTATACTGAAATTCACATGAAAATATACAAGTACTCATAACAGGCATTTATAAAAAATTAACAAAATATTTCACAATATTTTGGTAAATCAAACCATCTTCCCTTGATAATCATATGTGATTATGCATTTGAAAATTATAAGCACCCAAAATATAGCACTAGGCATAACTAGGGTGTCCCCCAATATGGATCCACATAAATAAGTCTCACTCCATTTTCACTTAGATTGGGGTTATCTCAAGGATGCTAGCACACAACAATATAATTTTCTTTTTCATATTTCCATATAATTTATGAAACCAGAATCTT